GTTTTTAAATGGTTGGTGCTTTTAATAAATATATGAAAGAGTGCAAGGTATAGGTGCCTAGGGACTGGCAGAGAGTATGAATAGTTCCTTTGTATAAAGGCAAAGCGACAAAAGAAAGAGCAAAAATTATAGAGGAATAAGCCTGTTAAGTATACATATGGTAAGGTGAAAGGCAGAGTTATTGAAAGAATTTAGAGTAAGACGGGAAGAAGGTCCGCAGAAAAAAGTGTCTTTAGGAAGAGTTGGGGGTGTGTAGACCAAGTTTTTACAGTGAAGCAAATAGGTGAACAGTATTTAGATAAGGGTAAAGAGGTTTTTGTTGCATTTATGGATTTGGAAAACGCATATTATAGAGTGAACAAAGAAGAAATATGGCAGATGTTGCAAGTGTATGGAATAAGTGGCAAGTTACTGAAAGCAGTTAAGAGTTTTTACGAGGATAGCGAGGCCAAGGTTAGAGTATGTAGGAGAGAGGGAGATTATTTCCCAGTAAAAGTAGGTCTTAGACAGGGATGAGTCATGTCACCGTGGTTGTTCAATATATTTAATTAAGATAAATAAAGAAAAAAAAGGGAATAAGAAAATCAAAATAAGGTTATGAGGTTAAAGTCTCAAGGGATTCAAAGATAAATCAAAAAGGTTTCTTTCAGGTATATAGAAGAAATATTTGGGACAAGTTAGGCACACACAAAAGTCACGTGGGTCACCTCACCCACTGTGATAAAGAAATGTGTAAATTTTTTAACACCTATTTCCTCTCAGTTTTTTTACGCAGGAAGATAAATTCCAGAAATAGTAAATTTAGAAGAACAGGACAAAGATAAGATATGCACGATTAAGGTCACTAGTGTCGTGGTCCTCAGAGAAGCAGATCAAATTAAAACCTAACAAATCTCAGGGCCCTGATTATCTGTTTGCAGCATATCACTACATACTGGCAAAGTGCCAGATAAGTAGAAAATAGTAATTGTGATACTGATCTACAAGGCAGGTGACAGGTTCTTAGTTTCGAACTATAGACCAATAAGCCTAACTTGCATAGTGGGAAAGTTTAAGGAATCAATTGCCGAGGCAATTCGTAGCCATCTTGAAAGGCACAAATGGATTAATGAATCTCAGCACGGTATTACAAAGGGACGTTCCTAGGAAGCCTTATGAATTTACTAACTTTTTTCATTAAGATATTTCAGGAGATTAGACCATGATAATGTATATAATATTGTGCATATGAACTTCAGTAAGGCTCTTGATAGAGTTCCTCATCGGAGGCTATTGAAGAAAATTTAGGCACACGGAACAGGAGAGTTTTCCTCGACAGAGGCGTGGCTGACAGGCAGCAGAGAGTTTGCATAAATGGGGAGAAATCAGAGAGGGGAAGTGCCACAAGCGGTGTTCCACAGGGGTCAGTGTTGGGCCCGTTGTTGTTCACAATTTACATAAACGACATAGATGAGGTAATAAATAGCGACATAAGTAAGTCTGCCGATGACACCAAAATACGTCGTCGAATTCATTCTGAAGACACTTGACTTATTTCACTGTGACTTATTTCTAATCAAAAGAATCATTCCCTAATTATTACACAGAAGCCAACTTTATTAGTTTAATTTATTCATATCTTATACTACCTAACATCAAAAGATTGTTTACGTTTAGGAAAACGCATCAGCACTAAAAGTTTACAGTTGAACAGAAGATACTTTACCGTTATTGTACAGAATGTAACAAAATTTGTGGTTACACAGCCTTAATCCACGAAACTTTTCATCAATTTGATACGATGCATCAACCATTGAGGATTGACGCTTTTCACAATTTTTGTTTCAATAAGAGGAAAGCGCTAAACCTGTGGAGGTCATATACCACCTGAGGAATGAGAGGCATTCACATTTGATCCATGGAAGAGGAAGGTAAATCCAGTTCTTTGGATCAATAACAATTAATTCAGATTAAATTAGAAGAATGGGTGCCACGAGAACCATTCTACGTCCAGTAACATGGATTAACGCTCCCCACTTCTGGGTGACCCACTTGTGTCAATCAACACCATACAACTAACCTTGTAACATCTACAACCATCTTACAGCAGGACACCACCTTAGAAACTGCTTAGTCAACCAACTCCAGGTAAGCAACCAACCTCCATCAAACGACCTGCAGCTACCACCTGCAGCTGCAGCCTTACGACCGACCTCTCGCACAGAAAAAAAAGGCAATAGAAAACAGTATACATCCAATTCAGCGGCACACCGGTATACAGCTGGTATAGCGGTGTACAGTTGACGGGTAGGAGGTAAACCTGTCTTATGAATTCAGCTTTTTCACGAATAACAACATGCACACGCATTTAAATTGTACCAAAGTGGATAGGCCACTTACCTTTACAACCCCACCTCCTCACCACCCTCCCAAACCTTTCCCACATTCCATCCTTACCCATCCTCCTTCCTGCCCCATCTTACCAAAGCTCTGGTCAGAACCTCGCACCTCTCCAGATTAAAAGTGACGAAATGGTATCTACATAATCATTAAATATAACAGCCGTCTTATAAGTGGGACATACAAGTGATGAAAATTTTAAGTAGAGAAGAGTAGCCTGTTGTCACCTATCATACAGAAACAAAATTTGGGTATTACCTATGTATTTAGGCCCCGTGGCCTGGTGGCTAAAGCTCTCTCTTTACTCGGCGAGTGTCTGGGTTTGATTCCCACCGAAGGTAGAAACATTGGGCGTGTTTCTTTATACCGGTTATCTGTGTTCACAATAAAATGGATAACGGTGTTAGTCGACTGGTGTGGGTCGCATCCTGGGACAAAACTGACCTAATTTGCCCGAAATTCTCAGCATAAAAAGGAGCTTTCTATATAGTATGTCATTGATGTCAGCTAGGACTGTATACCATGTACATGTACTTGTAGTAAATAAAGATATTAATAGTAGTAGTACTAACATTGTGCATTGGGCACCCACTCCTGCATAGAGTTCCATGAATATTTCCCAGCATACAATGCACATTATTATTATAATCAAGGGGGAAGCGCTAACCCGGAGGATTATACAGCGCCTGGGGGGGGGATGTGGAAGGCATTCAGGCTTAATTCGGAGAACTGGAGCACAGATCCAATTCCCTAAATCAAGAGCCCCTCACCAACATCAAGGAACCTTCCTTGAGGGAATACAATGCACAAACAGTGAAAATTTGAAGCCGATCAAATAAGGTGTTCTCGAGTAATAATTTTGTTTTTAAAAAGCAAACAGTGTTAATGAGAGCTCGAGAAGAAGGAAAGTTTCTCCTCGTTAAACTTAATACTGCTATAAAACTGCAGTTTTTTCCAGTTTACTTTTCTCATTTGTATTCTATTTAAAGTTCTACAATCCCGTAAGGAAAAATAGTTTATTTTGATTTAAAAAATAATAAATTGATGAAATTCAAAAGAAAAAATTGCCAAAATAGAATACAGTAATACACCAGCATTTAGGTTTGAATCTATCCAGAAGAGGCATTCTCTAGTTAACACATGGCAAACACTTCTTTTAATAAAAAAACAGTAAATTTAAATTTACACAGCTCAGAGAGAGTGATAAGCTGTGTTTTGATGAAGTCCATCAATGGTATAAGTTTGAAACCGATAAGAAAAAGCATTCTTCAGTAATTGATCAGATTTCAACGATTCGGTTTTTTAGCCTATTTCAGTAAAATTTTAAACTTGCATCTTCTAGGATTAAACTTGAGGGAATATAGAATACATCTTCAATAATATTTTGAGGCTAATCGAAAAAGAAAACGTTCTTAGTCACTGAATAATAAAAAGAATATCAGTATATTTAAAAAAAATTGATAAATTGCGACTTATGCCTTTCAAAGGCAGATTATTATTATTATAATAAAGAGGAGCACTAAACCCATAGGATTATGCAGAGTCTGTGGGGGGATGGAAGGTATTCAGGCTTAATTCAGGAAACCGGAGCACAGATCCAATTCCCTAGATCAAGAGTCCATCACCAGCGTCAAGGAACCCTCCTTGATGGGCCTCAAACGCAGAGCTTCGTATGTAGGAAACAATACCAGGGGTGAAAATTTGATATCGATCCAATGACTTATTCTCCAGTTATAGCACGAATTCCACAATTCCATTTTTTTTACTATTTTACTACAACAATTTGCGCGGACGCAGAGGAAATTTAATGGGTATTTTCTGGACACTAAGATATGTCGGTTATTATAAAATGAAGCTGATCAGAAGGGATCAACTTAAAAATTATTAAATGTGTTTTAATGGGGGATAAAAATTTTAAATTATCTTTCATAAAAAAAACGGTCAAATTTACATTTACATATTTGGAATTCAGTCTTCGCCGTCGTCGACTTTCTTGACACATTGTTTGAACGACTCAAGTTCCGCTGATGAGGATTGTGGAAGTTATCTGAACCATCCCAAGAGAATGGGAGTAGGTACAACAACTTTGGTCGTAGCGCACGTCAACATGACAACTGCTCCAGAGATCTGGTCCTCGTGACCGTGCACAGGTGTAGGGTAACCACACTTGGTTGGGCAGTTGTGTTATGAGCGAAATATTCCGAAATGTTGAAGAAAAGAGAAGATACTTCTTGATTTACATCATAATTCATCAAATTTAAGAAAGAATGTATATCATCAGCTGTCTCTTGCACCCCACCAACTTTTATCACATCCTTTCCATTAGCTCCCTCACTCACCCCTTCAACTCACTCTCATATCCGGTCCAACTCACTTAATTGTTTCACTGTATTAGAGGCAGTTATATGGGAGACTGACGTAGTTTTGTCTACTACGATCAGTGGCTGCTCCTTTTCTCTTCAAATGTCAAAACCTTTATCGCCTTTTTCTTATACTTGCATTTTTATCGTTGTAATAAGTTATAATTTGCTTCCTAGTGCTGTAATCACCTCTTTCTCTAACCTCTAATATCTGCATATCATGAATATGTCTCTTACTTCATCCTCCTTTATTTCTTGCAGATTTTGATGATATCGACAGTGTTCATCATAAAACAAAATCTCCGTTGCTTCACACACAGACATCAACCCAGCACAGTACTGTGTGCTGGCAACATTACGCTGTTTCGGTGACAAAGGAGAAACTGTAAAGTTATGGTGTTTATGAGACGTGTTGGCATCGTGTTTGTGTGGTGGGTGAACGTCAGGATGGCTCTGGTTCTGGGGGAACAACTTGACCCTGGCACCTCACTCTTCCCCAGAAACAGGGCCAAGAATGATTTCTTGCTTCGTCCTCGAAGCTTCGACAACTACGAGTCTCCTGTCCGCCTCGCATACCCACAGACAGACAAGAAGACGGACGCGTGAGTACCCTGACTTGTTTTTGCGTAGTCTATAAATCTGGAAGACTTAAAAATCTCTACGAGATCCAATAAAGGTATTCCCGTATTCCATAAGCTCAGCCTCCTCTACCTCAATGCACGCACAAGGGTTATTAGAAGGTGGTCATACAATTCCTATGCAATAAATTACACTATGTAACACAATTATTGTTCCTGGCAAGTGTTATTTTCCAACTCCTTTTATTACTTACAGAATGAATTTTTAACAAAAAATGGCTAATTTTCAATATTTTTTGCTAGTTTTGGATGTAAAACAAAAACAAATAAAATTTACATAAAATAAAATTTACACAAATTTTATTTTAAACTTTCTGAAACATATTTACAAAGTTAAAAATGAACAGTTTTTCTAGATCTGCGAGCAGCAACAAATCACTTTCCCGTTTAAGCCCCCAAATGTAGTCTGCCATCATGTTTTCATTATAAGATCCCTGACATCTGTGTTCAAAGTCCATTATATCTTGGTGGAAGCGCTCCCCTTGCTTCTCTGAATATGCTCTCACGTTCTCCTTGAAATAGTCAAAATGAGCATCAAGGATATGGACCTTAAGGGATATCCTACTGCCCATCTGACCATATCGTTTTACCAAGGTTTCAACAAGGTCCACATAATTGTCAGCCTTGTTGTTGCCCAGAAAGCCCTGTGCTACAGCAACAAAACTCTCTCAGCACTCCATGATTTTCCTGACTTGTGGTCCAGTGAAGATGCCAGCCTTCACCTTTGCCTCTGATAGCTTGGGAAAGAATCCTTGAAGATACTTGAGGGCTGCAGACTGTCAAGAACTGTAACAAACTGTTTCATTAGCCCTAGTTTGATGTGTAATTTAAGGAACAGAACCTTCTCAAGATCCACCAATAGTTTATGTTTGATATTATGCCTTCCTACTGAGAACTCAGTCCATTGAGGCCTGTGCTTCCTCTGGTAATGTGTTGCTCTGTCTCTACTGTCCCAATGACAAAGATAACAGGGAAACTTGGCAAAGCCTCCTTAAGAGTCCCATCAAAATTGCCACCATTTTGAAGTCTCCAAGAACATCCCAGACATACTTATCATAGTTCAATGCCTCCAGAAGAAGTTTGACACTATTGTAGTCCTTAAGATGCAATGAATCAGCCAAGAGAAGAGATGGATACTTGCTCCCATTGTGCAGAAGTACAGCTTTTAGGCTTCTGGAGAAGCTGCATCAAACAAGCCTGATGCATCATTACAGTAGCACAACTTGTCTTCATTAGTGAAGAAGCTTGAGAAATGTTGATGTTTTCTTTGGCTTGTCACTTGCACATTTTCATTCACCAAGTCCCACTTCCTGAGCTTTCAAATCAAAAGCTCAGCGTTTGACTTTGTCAAACCAAGATCTCCGATAAGGTCATTGAGGTCTGTTTGGTTTGGGTAGTAAGGATTCATCCGAACAGCTTCATCTGTGAGATCGTAGTCTTGTTCACTGTGATCTTCATTTTCTGATTTGCTGCTTTCTTCTTTTGACGGTTGACTTCTTTCAGGAAGATCAGTACTTTGTGGTACTGGTGCAATAAAAGAGGGAAGGTCTGGATAAGAAATAGCAAGTGGATTTTTTCCAGCTCGGCGTTTGGAAGGATCCACCAGACAGAAGTAGCAGTTGGTTGAGTGATCAGTGGGTTCACGCCATATTCTAGGAACAGCAAACTCCATGGCTCTTTTTTCTCCTCTGTACCATCCTGTAAAAGAACAAAATAATTAGTTTCTGTTATTCATTTTATTTCAAAAATTTTCCTATTCAAGATTTTACCCTTCATATAACTAATGACTTTCTTCCTTTCCAATGATTTCTTACAATGTTCACAAGCAAAATGAGGGGCCCAGGTCTTGTCTTGGTCCACAACTGGCATGACAAAATATGCTTTCTAAGCATCACACATTTTTTAAGATGCTGTTACAGAGAACCTCTTTCCTCTTGGCTAAATGAATTGACGACATATGTAGCAGAATCCATCTGGAGAATGATTGCAGACTCTTGATGCCATTTCACTTCTGATGTGTCTTCTCAGGTAGCCAGAGCTGAACTGAATGTTAGTTTGTGAACCCCTGTTTTTATATTTGCCAAACAAAACCCTAGAACATTAATAGTTTGCATCAGTCTTTCTTGAAAGTGTTCCAGAAGTGTCCTGACCACAAAAGCAAAGTTCTGGGATCAAATTTTTTTTTTAATTTTGTTTAGTTATAAAGAATAGAGAAATGATGATTATTTCCCAGGAACACAACAAAAGTGAAATTTTGTTACATAGTGTTATAATTAAGTGTACATTTGTGAATATTTGTGTGTATGAATTTCTGTACAAATGAACATTTCCACATGTATACAAGTGTGTATGTATTTATATTCGAATGTATATTTGTGTATTTACATATGTATGTTTTGTATGTATATATTTACGTGCGCATATGTATATATGAATGTGTACAGTGTCCCGTAGCTCGGTGGGTAGCGCGCTCAGCTCACACATCGAGGTCCGTGGTTCGATTCACTGTACGATTGGAAGCATAGACCGTTTTTCCTCAAGACACCTGGTGTCCCTGTTCACCTAGTAGTAAAAGTACCTAGATGTTAGCCGACTGATATGAGTAGCATCTTGGGGACATAATTAACCCAGTTTGCCCGAAATGCTCTGCATAACCTGGGGCCTTCTATATAGTATGTGATTGATGTCAGCTATGGTCTGTATAAGTTGTATCATATACTTGTAGAAATAAAGATTATTATTATTATTATATATACTTTGGCACATATATGTGTATTGTATGCTTATGCAGAAGTATGAATGTGCACATTTATGCATGCGTATACATGTGAGAATGCATGCATATATGCATTTTGGGTGTATATATTTATGTGTATATGAATACTTTGTTCTGTTTGTGCATGTATGATTGTTTACATGTATGCTTTTGCGTGTGTAGGTGTCTGTACGTACAATATACGAGTGTGTGTGTGTGTGTGTGTGTGTGTGTGTGTGTGTACTCGCCTATTTGCGGTTGCAGGGGTCGAGTCATAGCTCTTGGCCCCGCCTCTTCACTGATTGCTACTAGGTCCTCTCTCTCCCTGCTCCATGAGCTTTATCATACCTCGCCTTAAGACTATGTATGGTTCCCGCCTCCACTACTTCACTTTCTAGGCTATTCCACGGCTTGACTACTCTATGACTGAAGAAATACTTCCTAACATCCCTTTGATTCATCCGAGTCTTCAACTTCCAATTGTGACCTCTCGTGTCTGTGTCCCATCTCTGGAACATCCCGTCTTTGTCCACCTCGTCTATTCCGCGCAGCATTTTATATGTCGTTATCATGTCTCCCCTGACCCTCCTGGCCTCCAGTGTCGTCAGGCCGATTTCCCTCAACCTTTCTTCGTAGGACAATCCCCGTAGCTCTGGGACTAGTCTTGTTGCAAACCTTTGCACTTTCTCTAATTTCTTGACGTGCTTGACTAGGTGTGGATTCCAAACTGGTGCTGCATACTCCAGTATGGGCCTGACGTAAATGGTATACAGAGTCTTGAACGACTCCTTACTGAGGTATCGGAACGCTATCCGTAGGTTTGCCAGGCGCCCGTATGCTGCAGCAGTTATCTGATTGATGTGCGCCTCAGGAGATATGCTCGGTGTTATACTCACCCCCAGATCTTTTTCCTTGAGTGAGGTTTGCAGACTTTGGCCATCTAAACGATATTGTGTCTGCGGTCTTCTTTGCCCTTCCCCAATCTTCATGACTTTGCATTTGGCGGGGTTAAACTCAAGGAGCCAGTTGCTGGACCAGGCTTGTAGCCTGTCCAGGTCTCTTTGTAGTCCTGCCTGATCCTCATCCGATTTGATTCTTCTCATTAACTTCACATGTGTGTGTGTGTGTGTGTGTGTGTGTGTGTGTGTGTGTTGTGTGTACTCACCAATTTGTGCTCACCTATTTGTGGTTGCAGGGGTCGAATCACAGCTCCTGACCCCGCCTCGTTGCTGGTCGCCGCTAGGTCCACTCTCTGCTCAATGAGCTTTATCAAACCTCTTCTTAAAGCTTTGTATGGATCCTGCCTCCACTATATTTCTCTCCATCTCTGCAACATTCTGTCCCTGTTTACCTTTTCAATTCCTCTCAGTATTTTATATGTCGTTATCATGTCCACTATCCCTCCTATCCTCCAGTGTCGTTAGGTTGGTTTCCGATAACCTCATCTCGTTGGGTATACCCCTTAGCTCCGGGACTAGTCTTGTTGCAAACCTTTGCACTTTCCCTAATTTCTTGACCTGTTTGACAAAGTGTGGGCTCCATACTGATGCTGCATACTCCAGTATGGGTCTGACCTACACAATGTACAGGGTTCTAAACGACTCCTTCCTCAGATGACGCAACGGTAATCTTAGGTTTGCCAGGCGCCCATATGCTGCAGCAATTATTTGGTTTATGTAAGCCTCAGTAGATGTGCTTGATATGTATGGATGTATGGATGGATGGAAGGATATATGTATGCATGGATAAATTTATTTTTGTATAAAAGTATGTAAAGTTTATGTATAAATATTTATTCATGTGTGTGTCGACCGTCACCATCACATACACAACCTTCACCACCACCATCACCCCCCCACCATCACCACCTCCACTATCACCACCTCTACTATCACCACCTCTACTATCACTACCACCACCACTACCACCACCTCCACTAACACCACCTCCACTACCACCACTACCTCCACTGCCACCACCTCCACTGTGACTACCACCACCACCACTACGATCACCACCTCCACTATCACCACTACCACCACCACCTCCACTGTCATCACCACAACCATCAATACCACTACCACTATTATCACCACCATCTCCACTGTCATTACCACCACCACCTCCACTATCACCAACACCGTCTCCACTATCACTCGCACCACCTCCACTATCACCACCTCCTCCATTATCACCACCACCATCGCCA